TTGGAAAGAATCTTGCTGGCAATGACTAAGAGAGAGATGACCCCTCTCCCCACACCCTGTGATTGTCACACAACAACTATTTCCTTTTTCTTCATAGAAATGGACAATGGAGGCATCCTTGAACTCCTGGGGAATGACCTCCTCATGCCATATAACCTGGAAGATTTCGGTCAGCTTTCGTATGAGCAGTGAACCCCCTGCCTTGTAAATCTCAGCTGGAATAGAATCAGCACCAGGTGTTTCGTCACACAAGAGGAGCCTAATGGCATTCTAAACCTCTTCTTCAGTTGGAAGTTTAGCTAGGGATGGATTGACTTCAACCTGAGGTCTGTGGTCAATAGCTTCCACACTGGTTGATGATGGTCTGTTGAGAATGCTATGGCAGTGTTTAGCTCATCTCTCGTCTCTCCAGTATTATGTCCTTATCACTAATCAACGTGGCTCCAACAGTGCTGAGTAGTTGAGATGCACCATAGGTTTTTGGCCCATAAATAGCCTTCAGGGCATCATAAAAGCACTTGTTACTATCAGCATAAAACTGAATTTCAACTGCCTTCTTACTGATCCAAGAATCCTGCATCTCTCTAAGCTTTGCTTGTACTTTACTTTTGGTGGAGCTAAATGCTGCCTTCTTAGAGATGAATGAACTATCCTGCTGGTAAACCTATGGAGTTCTTGTATTTTTGTCTAGCAACCTCTGAATTCTCTCATAATTTTTGTCAAACCAGTCTTGATGTTTGCAAGTGTTCTAACCCAGATAAGTAAATGTGGTGCTCTAAAACCAAATCTCTGAAAGCTGCTCACTCCTTTTCTGCTTCAATGTTGGCAATCATGTATTGGTTCAACTTACCCTCCCCCTTAGCAACAATCTATTTGCTGGGAGAAGTCCCCTAATATATTGATATTAGGCCTTCTGGTAGTCATCCCGACTTGGGGGCCTCCGCTTTTGTTGAATGAGAACGTTTAGCTTGGAGAGGAGAAGTCTATGAATGGTTGAGCACTCTGCACCACGCATCACCTTCATCAGTCTTGAATCCTGTCTGTTTTTTCTCCCTACAGTGACATGGTCTATTAAATGCAAATGTTTGCTCTGAGGACGCATCCATGAAGTTTTGCTGTGTTTAGGTAAACAGAAGACAGTGCTGGTGATGAGAAGGTCATGAGATGCAAAAGTCATCAGTAGTAAGTGACCACTGCCATTGCTGTTTCCAACTTTATTCGTCCCAAGGACTCCCTGCCATGTCTGATAGTGTGTGCCTACTCTGGCATTAAAGTCACACAAAATTATAAGCTTGTCTTCTTTTGACACATTGATTATGAGGGTCTCTGGCTCTTCATAAATTTTTTTTCTCTGACCTTATCAGGGCTTATCATTGTGGGAGCATATGCACTGATGGTAGTATGGTGCCACTTAGCTAGTAAGAAGACATATGGTGCCTAACTGGCAGCCTCCTTGGATGCAGCCCTTTGGGTGACAAAGTGTGATTCTAGTGAGGTAGAGGATGATGACCTTTCTCTATCCCAACAGAATGGTAGTGGAAGTCATTGCTCAGCGTATGGACTGTGGACTCAACCAATAGGGCTCATCCCAGGAGAGTCCTGGCTGCTGTGCTTGACTTTAGTATATGATCTTGTGAGTACTGAGATGATCCTGGAAGGCCTGCAAGTACTGGCAGCAAGGGCAGCCTCTAACAGGGTGATTGCACTTGTAGCAGCAGCAGTAGGGTCAGTCTTTTGACAAAGAAAGCAACAGTTTCCGAGGCTGCCAGAATGAAGATCAAGCATGGCCATTTGATCAGACAACTGCCTAATAGCCAGAAAAAAATGTGAAATGGCTAATTAGCATTCCTGTAAAAACTATTTCATGTCCTAAGGAGGCTGGAATACGAATGTCCCAGTGGACTCTACTGTCAGTACTAAGTTACCGAATTCTGTTTTTATCCTGTAAAGAGGCTGGTAGATCTGCCACTTCTTGGGTGACTTTGGGTAGGTTACTGACTCTTTGGGGCCTCAGTTGCCTCATCTATAAAATGAAAGGGCTAGACCCCTCCTATCCTCATCTGTGAAATGGGGATAATGATTGCACCACCTCAAAGGGTTGTTGTGAGGATAAAATGAGATCATATCTGTGCTTTGCAAACCTTATTTGGAGTGCTCTATGAATGCTAAAATCATTCCCCATCATATTGGGCTATATTTGGAGTTAGTGGCAGGAATGGGGAACAAAGGGGCTGTGGCAGAGTCTTCCAGCTTCCACCTTTTCCCCAAATGCCAACTCCATTGATCTGCAGGGCAGACCTTGAAAATTTTGGGGACCTGAGGTAAGCCCATTGCCTCAGACCCATATAGTCTCTTTCTATTTGTTGGCATGTAGCCCCTCTCTGTTTAGATAGGTTTGTTTGTTTGCTTTCAGAGGAGGAGGGTGATGCAAGTGGACAGTCAGAAACTTATCAGAAGTAAAAGATTTTTGTTGTTTTGTTTTAACCCTAAGTCAGGCAGAGGCTAGGGACAGGAACATCAATCCTGTTAGTAGGAGAAGACATTCAAAGACAGATTAAATGTATTTTGATTCTATCAACCAAAAAGCAATTATTAATCAGCTAAGATATGCCAGGCCTTGAGCCAAGCACTGGGGTTACAAAGATAAAAAGAAAATTCTCCTTCCTTAAGGAATTCTATTGATGGAAACAACATGTACATATGTAAGTATATGCAAAATGCATGCAAAGTAAATACAAGGTAATTTTAGGGGCAAAGTATTTGCAGTTAGGGCTATCAGGAGAGGGCATGTATAAACTGATCTTTGAAGAAAACTAGGGATTGTAAGAGTAGGTAAGGAGGCTGTGCATTCCAGGCATGATGGATAGATTTTGGACCTGGTGCTACGAATCAGAAAGCTAACCAGTTTCTATTCTAATGTTGAGGACAGCTGTTTTTCTCCAATCCTCAACAACTAGGTGTGTAAGTATTGGCCTTCCTCACTAAAAAGAGCTAAAGCTTAACACCCCACCCCCATGCTCCCTCAGGAGGGAGAGGGAGGAGGAACAGAAGGGGAAGAAGACAGAGCCAATTTTCCTCCTATGAGTAGGAGGGAGCACCTTTGCTGATATCTGTAGCTGAGGCCCAATAGGTGGCAAGCAGTAATACCAAACTGCCTAGTTTGGGAATATCCAAGCCAGAGTACCCAATGTTCAGAGTAGCTGGGGCAAAATGGTGCCTTGGACAGGGGGTATGCCCAAAGATCAGAAACAGTGACCTCACCAGAAGATATTGGCAATCCTTCAGTATCACAGATAATGAATTGCCTCCCCGCGTGTGTGTGTATGCGTGTGCTACTCCACATATTCAGACAAGGACCACGAAAAGCTCTCTGCAAAGGTATTCTCCATTTATGATGCCTATTGTATGGTCACTCTTCCTGCAGACAATGTATGTATTTGTGGGAGAGGGCGCCACAGGTTTATGGAGGGAATATTCTACTTTTCTTACTATGTCATTTTTTAATGCTATCCAAGGAATATTCAATTTTTCTGAATGAATTCCTCCTCAGGTTGACTAGTAAAAGTAAACATATAGTGAAATTTTAGTTTTCAGTGGTTGTGAACCCCCAGAAAACCTACTCTGTGCTAGTTTTTCTGGGAATCTCAGGAATGAGAGGGAGTGCCTTAGTTGCAGTGGTGTGTTGTACCTCGCTTGTATGACTAGGGAGAGTGGATTGCTAAATTTTCAGTGTGACCATTTACACCTCAAAAATGGGCAAAAGCTACAAATCAGGCATTGATTTGTTGTTTTGTTGCTTGTCTAGACTTAAGAGGACCTGAGTTCAAATTTGGCCTCAGACACTTGATACTTACTAGCTGTGTGACCCTGGGCAAGTAACTGAACCCCAATTGCCTTACCAAAAAAAAAAATGCAGCTTTTACTAAAAAGTATGTTGTGGGTATTTTTTTTCTTCTTCTGGAAAGCTGGTTGTTAAACATTTATCAACACATCCCTGCCTAGTTGCTACATTAGTTACTGACTTCAGATGTAAAAACAGTCAGACCACCTAGTGTAGACAGGATTTTTGATCTTAATTACTTCAGATCTGAGTACCAGAATTTTCTAATTTCTTTACTTCTCTTTTCTAATAGTACATTTCAAGATATATTACACAAATCTCACTCAAAGCTTATATGAAGGAAGCCTTTACAAACTTAAATAACCACAATTTACTTCCACACTGGAGGTTGTTTCTGCTAAAAATTCTGAGCTGAAGTTTATAATTAAATTGATTTTATCAGTGAGGCCTGGCAAGAGAAAAGGAGCCCTCTAAGGCGTGAAAAACATTGTCATGACAAAGCCCTCTTGGCAATGGTGCAGCCCTACTCTGGAAAGACCATTACTTTGAATCATTCAGATTCCCAAATCTAAGGCAAAGGGAGCAGAAGGTTTTCAGAAAAACTTCAAAAGACTCTACCAATATAGGAGTTACTATAGCAATTCAAAGAGGATATCCAGAGTGTGAAGTACAGGGAATTTGTGTGTGATGACCTGGGCACAAACTGAGAATGACCTATCTTTCCATTTGATGCCACCTCAAGTGCCAACTTCCCCTCTTTCCTCCATCAGCAACAACAGTCCTCTATCCCTTCCTCCGGGCTTGCCTTTGCTGGCCTTGGCTTCTGGTCTCACCAGCACACTATTCCTCTACTTCTTCCCTCCTATGGCTAACTTTTGAGGCCTTTCCTCAGGTTCCTTCCAGTCCCCCACATAACCTCTGACTTTTAGAGGCTGAATACCCCATTTAGCCATATTGGGTTCTTGCTTCAATTCTAAGGGAGTGCAATGCCACTTCCAAAGTTCCTGGCATAAACAGATAGTACCCAGAAATTCCCAATTCCTCCTAGGTACAAGAAGGTATGAGTGCCCATAACAGTTTTGATTTCTAGTGACTGGGTTCTGAGGCATTATAAAAACAGCATATATTTTGGAACCTTTGAATAAAGTACTTTTCTTACCTCAATGAGACAAATCACGGCAATAATGATCATTACCACTACTGTCACTGATATGGACAAGAGAAGTTTGTTGTTATAGCCAAATTCTGGAATGTCTTCTTTCAGCTATGAAAAAAAGAGCACTTTTTAAAAAAAACAAATAGAACAAAAAATGAATGTCAATTTCAAAAAAAAAAAAAAAAATATATATATATATATATATATATATATATAGTATATATAATATACTATATATATATATACATACACATATATATTGGATCCTGTCCAATTTACCTTCTAGATCTTTTGGTTTCTTCTTGAATATGTGTTCATGAGAAATTCCTTATGAGATCTTACTTCCAATGTGCAATATATGTACTGTTCATATTTGTTACTTTTTATACTTACCCTGGGATTAACATTCTTATTTTATAAATGAGCAAACTAGGACATTCACTACCTTTTTCAGGGTTACTCAGCTCTGTAAAATTATGGGACTGGACTACATACTCTCTAATGTCCTTTCTAATTCTTATATTCCGTAATTCTAATTCACAACCATGACCACCCACCTGCTCTTTAAATCATCAATCAACTCTAGCTGTCTTAGAACTCTACTATTATTTTTTTTAAATGGACAGAAAAATGGTATCTACATTTCAGATGACAAATTTACCTCTTCTGTTTGTAACTGGACTAGGACCTTTTGCAGGGTGGTATTGTCATCGAGATCTGTCTCATGTTTCCAGGGATCCGAATTGTGATATGCAGTTGACTGTTTCCTCTTTTCTTGCTCACTGAGCCGTTTCATCAGGAGACTTGTTCTTGAAATGAGCTTGGCACAGGCCAGTTGCACCTTAGGCTCTGAGCAATACTTTTCTAAAGTTCGGACAACATGGGAAACTAGGCTTCTCATTGCACTGTTGGGGATGAGGCGCTCTAACTGCTTGTTCAGTTCAATTTCAAACGAGTCAGCTGAAGCCGATAAATTAAAAAAGGAGTTGCCATTGGACTTAGGTAGAAATATAATATTGCCTTGATCTCTCCAGTGTGTTTTGCTGGTTTGTTGAACAGTTGGCAAAGAATTGTCTAAAGTGAATTTTTTCTTCCGTTTGGAAGAAGTAGTAGTATTTTCCAAAGTGGTGCTTCTCATAGGGGGTGTTTCAGGAGCCTTTGCTAGGCTGGTCATTTTGGAAGCCTTGCTGGAGATACTTCTTTCTGGAGAAAATGAAATAACTTTTTTAGAAGGATTATTTATAAGGCTTCTTATTTCTGTAAAAACAGGATTTTCAAGTAACCATCTATTTTGTGAAAGTTTATTTTTCATCTGCTGGCTCTCCTTAGCCTCAGGGAATATATTGGCTTTGCGGGGTTTTGCTTTATAGAACAAATGATTTTTATTAGAATCTATGACTGGAATATGATCTTTTTGAAATGTTGTTCCAATTTCATGTTTTTCTTTTTGTCCCTTATATCTAAGCCTTTTGTTTACATTTTTTGAAGCAGAAATTGGATATTTTAAACCATCCGGCTTGCTCCTGTCCTCTAATGAGGCTGCCAAAGGACTGGCGGTTGAAGGAATGCCTCCATGATGCCAGCTTGGTTTCCTTAGCCTCCTCATGGCCTGCCCTGAAGCTCTTGTCCTTCCTTTGGCAATGTTTTCCAGAGAAGATCTGACACTTTCTGAATTCCCCTGAATGCTCTCCTGGTCAGTCCCTTCAGAATGCTTTTTTTTCATGCTCTTCCTGTTCCTGCTGACCTTCCCCACTTCTCCTAGCTTTACTTTTTCGCAAAAGCGTCCCTTGCAGGCATCCACTCCCGGGGCCACTGCCTTCCTGCTGCTGCTGGCTGGGGGCTGGTTGCATTTCCCAGGAGTCTCGCCACACTTCCTGCTCTTTTCCAGGAGGAAGGTTTTCCATTTCTTTTGAAGTGTTGGATGTTTGGCTTTGACAATTTTTTCATGCTTGTTTTTATAATACATTTTTTCTCGAAGATAGGCTTCTAGCAAATTTGTCACAAAGTAAAGTTTCTTTAATTCAATTTCATCAGTAAAATCGATCCGTATTGGGCCAAAAGAGGACCACGATGTTTTAGTCATTGAAGGACCTGAAGTTTTTTCTCTATTTCGCAACTGGGTATTAAGAAGTCTAATAAATGGGAATAATTTCAATTCTACATTTTTTACTTTTCCCCTTAGGAGTTTTGGCAACAAATACTTTGCTGCATCAAGAAGATCAATTTCGCCATTAGAACTTAATTGTTCATTTATCAAATTTAAGGTATCACTATCTATATATGCTCTCCCAGGCTGTAGGCTTAGTTCAGTACTTGTAATATTTTTTCTGGATTGAAATGTTTTTATGAACTCTTCTTGTATATGGTCTATGGATTCTTTTTGATCTGTCAAGAAACAAGAGATTAATTTATGAAATGAAAAGCCAGTGCATGAATTTGGAACTCGAAACTAAAGAAGGGGAAAACAAGGAATGTGAAAAATTGTTTTTACATGTAATTGGGGGAAAATAAAATAATAAACAAAACAAGACAAGAAAGGTCAGTGCATGCATAGTACTGATTGGTGAGGGTAGAGAACTCTATTTGCTCTCCCTGGTGGGTTAGAAAACTATAGCAGCAACGCTCCTGCTTTGGGACTCCTTTTAGCCTTTGGATCCCTGCCTTGTGCAGGGTTTTTACCCCTCAGCATGAGGAGAAGCAACTTACATTTTAAAAGTTAATTTTAGGGCTAGCTAGGTGGCACAGTGGATAGAGAGCCTGGAGTCTGGAAGACCTGAGTTCAAATTTGGCCTCAGACACTTGACACTTACTAAGTTGTATGACCTTGGGCAAGTCACTTAACCCCAATTAAAGAAAAAAAGCTAACTTTAAATTGGGTAGAGGTTTTGTCAGCTATTTTTTTTTTAAGATATGGTATTCTGAGAAAGGAATATTCCTTCTGAAAGAGATAAAGGAGAATTATATTTTGTTCATTTCTGGGTGTTATACTTTAGGACATTGATCATCCAGAGACAGGCAACCTGGATGGTTAAAGGTTTCATTTTGTGATACATCAAGATCATTTGAAGGAAACAAAGATGTTTAGCCTAGAGAAGAAAACACTAATGAAGTAGATGATAGCTGTCTTGAAGTATTTGAAAGACTGTTATATGGAAAAGGGATTATATTTATGTCACTTAACCCCAATGGGCAGAACTATGATCAAAGAGTAAACATTACAAAAAGGCAAATTTAAGCTCAATAGTGGGGGTAGTCTGGGTAGAGTTGAGTCTCTTTGTCCAAGAGTGACATAATCAGAGTCTCATAACCAGACCCTCATTAGAATAGGCCTACCTCTTATTATATTATTCATTCTATGATTGTTAACCAATCAGAACTGATTTCTGCCTTTGGGAACATCCAATCTTCCAAGGGTATAAAAACATTGGGAATGGGGGGGGGGGAGAGAGAAGGTTTATTTTTAGTTTCAGAGAGTGCCACTGACCTTAATTAATAAACTGATTATTAATTACCCAGAAATTATGTCTTGGACTTTTCATTCCTCATATCAAGCACTTTGGATACAAAGATATAAATGACACAGTTCCTCTATAGCAGGAGATATGACACATATAAAAATAAGAATAAGGCATGGAGTGAAGGGGCAAAAGAAATATCCATTCAAAATGCTTTTGGAATAACTGAGAAGGGCAAGAACACCTTTCACTGAGGAAGGCCACATGGAGAAAGTAGAGTATTAAGTATTCTCCTCAAGGATAGGGATTGTTTCTTCTTTCTTTTTAAAAATTCACGTCATTTAGCACAGTGTTTTGTATATACCAAGTACTTAACAAATATTAGTTGAATTTCAACTTAATTGAGCTAAGCCCCAAAACAGAGGGTTTTATCCTGGGCTTCATGAGCTTAGATTTTTTTTTTTGATAACTACTTCAATATAATTAGTTTTCTTTATAATCCTCTGTATTTTATTTTATGCATTTAAAAATTATATTCCAAGAAGGGCTCCCTAGGCTTCACTAGACTGCCAAAATGTTCCATGGCACAAAAAAGGTTAAGACCTTCTAGAATTTATGAATACATGAAGCTTGGTTATGGTATGTCAAATTCAGGGAACAGCTATTTTCTCTGGAATATAAAGTGTATGAAGAGCAGTCATGTGAAATATGACTGGAATAGTAGGTTGCATCCAGATTGTAGAGTGCCTTAAATGGAAAGGTAAGAAGTCTGAAGTTTACCCTAGCAAGGGTTCTTAACCTGGAGTCTATGAACTTATTTTTTAAAAAATATTTTGACAACTATTTCAATATAATTGTTTTTTTGTAAGCCCATGCATTCATGCATTTTAAAACATTGTTTTATATATTGCCAAAGGTGTCTATGACACACACAAAAAAATGTTAAGGCAATTGAGAGCCAAGGAGATTTTTTTTTTAAACAAAGGAATATCATGGTCAGACCTGTGCTTTAGGAAGATTATTTTGGCAGCTGTACCATCTCAGAAAATCTGTACTCAAGTATACTATTTCCCCAAATGCTCAATAAAATCAAGAGGCCATTTTAGAAACATATTTAGAAAGGGAAATTTTTCACAGAAACATTTATTGCTCTTGGATTTTCAGGCAAATATGGTATATTACCTGGTTCATTATTAGAACTTAAAAGAGCAATAAATAACATTAAACATGAAGAACATTTACATTGCCTAGTTTAAAATTTTATAATTTAGCATCTCAGACATACCACAAAGAGAGGAGTCAGCGAAGCACTTGCTTCCACAATGTAGCTTTATTGTCTTGAAGGTACTTTCAATATTATTTTTAAACTGACACAGGCAGCAGGCAATATTGCTAGGTAAGATTCTGAAAACAAGAAAAAAAAGTTAAACTATAGTGGAAATGGAGATTATTAGTCCTGCAAGGCAAGATAGCTCTGTGTAACAGAGTTCTATGGGTTGTCAGAAAAGGACAGTGAGGTATGGATCAAATTATTGACCTTGAATCTGGGAGGCAAAAGGGAAAGGGAAGAGAAAAAACAGCCAGCAGTGGAACCAGACCAGTATGGTCACACTGTGCAGTGTAAAGAGAGATGTGATGGGCATGGAGGTGGGAGTCACAGCTTAGAAATGTCAGACTTATATGCCTCCCAATCAATCAATGATAAGCCTTTATTAAAGACCTACCATGCGCTAGGCACCATGCTGAGCAATGGGAGTATGAGACAATTCATACACTCAAGGAACTTACATTCAAATGGGGGAGACAGTAAATATCAATATAAGTATATAGAATATAAAGAGAATAAATACTAACAAATATAAAGTAGTTAAATACAAGGTAGTTTTGGAGGGAGGGAACCAGCAGCTGGAAGAAAAGGATCAGAAAAAGCACATCCCAATATAGATATCTGTTTCTTGGCCTGAAAGTCACAAGTTTTAGTTGAAAATTCATTTATAGGTTGGACTTCTAGGTAAAGAGACATACTTCTAGACTGGAAGAAGCCCGCTCTTGGAATCCCATCCACCTCTAAGCAATCAGCTATTCCTGTTTTGGAGACAGTTCTTGGAATTTGCTGTAGGTATAAAATTAAGTTAATTATGCTTCTGGTGCTAACACTCTTAAGGCCAAAAGCTCAAACTATATCACTAGACTAAAGAGTCTAACTCAGGATAGACTTATTACAAATTTTCTTTTTTATTATTTTTTCCTTCCAAATACTCTCTCATTCTCTCCTATTGAACAAATGAAAAAGAAAGAAAGAAAAAACAAAGTCCTCAGTACATAGCTATATAATCCAGGAAACCAAATTCCCACATTGGCCATTTTTGAAAACGTATGTTTCTTTCTGCATTTCAAGTTCATTACCTCTTTGTTAGGAAGCTGAGGGGTGTGTTTCATCTTCATTCTTTTCAGCTCATGGTTCATCATTGTACTGTTCGGCGTTCTGTAGTCTTTCAAAGTTATCATTGTATAAATTATTCTACCTCTGCTCACTTTGCTTGCATCATTTCATAGAGGTCTTCCCAGTATCCATCGAAACTGTCCATTTCATCACTTCTTGTGGCACAGTAAGAGTTAATTTGTTTAGCCATTCCCTAATGGGAGCATATACCCTTAGTTTCTGTGCTTTGATTACTATGACAGGAGGTACTATCAATATTATTTTTTTTGTACATGTAGGTCCTTCCCCTCTTTCTTGGATCATTGAGGTATAGGCCTAGCGGGAGATAATAGCTGGATCAAAGGGAATGCACATTTTAGTAACTTTTGGGGTATGGTTCCAAATTGCTTTCCAGAATGGCTAGACCAATTCAAGCTCTACCAATAGTGTACTAGTCCAAAGTTGCTTTAATTTGCATTCATTTCTTAATAATTTGGAACATATTTTCATATGGTTGTTGATATCCTGGATTTCCTCCTTTGAAAAATGCCCTTTCATATCCTCTGGCCATTGAATCAGTTCTGCATATATCTCGGATATGAGATCTTTGTATGTGTGTGTGGGGGGGGCAGTCGGGATTAAGTGACTTGCCCAGGGTCACACAGATAATAAGTGTCAAGTGTCTGAGGCCAGATTTGAACTCAGGTCCTCCTGACTCCAGGGCCAGTGCTCTATCCACTGTGCCACCTAGCTGCCCCTTGGATATGAGATCTTTATCAGAGAGTTACTGCAAAGATTTTTTTCCCCAGTTATCTGTTTTTATTATATTAGTTTGTACAGAAAACTTTTAAATTTTATACAATTAAATTTGTCCATTTTATGTTGTGGGAACTTCTTTATAATTTGTTTAATCATGAAGTCTTCCCCTCTCCATAAATCTGAGAGGTAATTTCTTCCTGGCTCCTCTAATTTGTTCATGATGTGACATTTTATACCTAGGTCATGTATCCATTTGGAGTTAATCTTGATATATAGTGTGAGGTATTGGTCTAAATCTAATTTCTGCCACATTGCTGTTCAGTTTTTCTAGCAGTTTCTGTTAAATAATGAAGAGTTCTCTCAATACCTGTGGTCTTTGGGTTTACTGAACATTATGCTATTGTGTTTGCTTCTGTATGTTGGGTATATAATCTATTCCACTGATAGACCTCTGTCTTTTTTAAACCAGTACCAAATTCTTTTAATGATTACTATTTTGTAAAACAGTTTGAGATTTCTTACTGTTAAGATATCCCCATTCCTACTTTTTTTTTCATTAATACCCTTTAGATATTGCCTATTTGCTCTATAAAATATTCTTTTGGGAGTTTGATGGTTACTGCATCTGATAAGTAATTAATTTAGGTATTATGTTTATTATCAACTCAATTTACCCATGAGTAGATGTCTTCAATTATTTGAGTCTGCATTTCTGCAAAGAGTGCTTTATAGTTGGATTCATATATTTCATATTTTATCTAGGTGACTCTTGGAAGATGACACTCCCAAATACTTGATAACTTCTGGAGTTTTTTGGTTTTTTTTAAACAGAATTTCTCTTTCTGGATCTTGCTGCTGGATTTTGTTGGTGATATATAGATATGCAGAAGATTTATGTGGGTTTATTTTTTATCTTGTAACTTTGCTAAAATTATTCTTTCAATTCATTTTATTGACTCTGTAGGGTTCTCTAAATATACCTTCATATCATCTGCAGACAGTGATAATTTTGTTTCATCTTTGCCTATGTTTGTTCCCTCAATTTCTTTTTCTTTTCTTATTGCTATAGTTGTACCTCTAGCGCTATGTTAAATAAGAGTGGTAATAATGCACATCCTTGCTCACCTCTTAGTGGAAAAGATTTTAACTTTTCTGTTATATATAATGTTTGTTCTTAGATTTAGAAAGATATTACTTACTATATTAAGAAAGGGTCCATTTATTGCTATGATTTCTAGAGTTTTTAATAGAATTGAAGGATGGATTTCATCAAAAGTCTTTTCAACATCTATTGATATGATCACATAGTTTTTATTATTTATGTTGTTAACATAGTTTATTTTATTTATGGTATTCTTATATTAAAGCAACCCTGCATTTCTGCTATAAACCCAACCTGGTCATAATGTATAATTTTTCTAATATGTTATTGTAATCTATTTGTTATTTTTTTATTTAAATTTTGCACCAATATTCATTGGTGATATTCTTCTGTAGTTTTTTTTCTTTGCTTTGTCTCTCTCTAATCACTGACATGATTACTATTTTTATTGAGTTATGTTTATAAAGGATATATTTACTGTTTTTTGCTTTTTTACACTTGTTTGCAATATCACTGTACCCTAATAAATGGTAAATTTTTGTAAAAGTTCCATTTGGTACTGAGGAATACGTATATTTTTAGCAGTCCCTTTTAGAAGTTACAATAGGTCTTTTAGTTTATTTCTGCAGCATTTTGTTTAGTTCTATAGTTTCTCTTTTGTTAATCTTTGTTAGATTCATTCCAGAGCGATATTAAAATCTCCTATCACCATTTTTTTTGCTGTCTGTCTTCTTGGAGTTCAGTTAATGTTTTGTGAATTTAAATGCTAAGGCATTTGGCAGATAAAAGTTTAATACTGATGTTGGTTTACTGTGGTTCTTTTCAGTAAATATAGGGTTTCTTTTTGTTTATCTCTTTTTATATTTTGAAAATTTGTTTTTGCTTTGTCTGATAGCATGATTACAACTTCTGCTTTTTTGGATTTACTTGGTGCATGGTAAATTTTGTTTCCAGCTCCCCATTTTTATTCTGTGTATGTCTCTGTTTTTTTAAGTGTATTTCCTGTAAGCAATAAATTGCAAATTGGGATAGTTTTATCCTCTTTACCTATCTTTTCTCTTTTACTTACCTTCACTTATTTTATCCCAGTTGCTAGGATTTTCAGAACTATATAAAATAGTGGGGAGAGTGGGCATCCTTACTTTATTCCTGTATCTACTGTAAAAGGTTCCAGTGTATCTCCATTGCATAAAATGCTTGCTGTTGGACATATATATATATATATATATGTCTGTCCAAAAAGAGAGAGAAAGAGACAGAGAGATGAACACCTTCTAAAAAAGTTCTTTTATGCCTATATTTTGTAGGGTTTTTAGTATAAAAGAGTGCCATACTTTGTTAAAGGCCTTTTCTGTATCTATTCAGATGATTAAGTGGTTTAGGATGTTTTGGGTTTTAATATGACTAATTATGCAGTCCTAATGTTTTCCTAATATTGAACTATCCTTGCATCTCTGGTATAAATCCTGCTTGGTCAAAATGAATGCCTTCTTGGATAAATCACTGTAGTCTGTTTGCCAGGATTTTGTTTAAATTTAAATTCTTGAGTCAATATTTATTAAGGATACTGGTCTATAGTTTTTCTTTTGTGATTTAGGTATTAAAACTGTATTTGTCTCATAAAAGGATTTTGGTAAGGTGCTTTCTTTCTCAATTTTTGAGAATTATTTGTGAAATATTGGTATTAATTTTTCTTTAAAAGTTTGACAAAATTCTCCTGAGAATCTATTAGGACCTGGAATTTTTTCCTTTGGTAGTTCTTTTACAGCTAGATTTCCTTTTCTGAGATTGGCTTACTTAATATCTCTATCTGTTCTTCTGGTAGTTTAGGCATTTGATATTTTTAAAGGTATTCTTCTATTTCCTCTGTGTTCTCAGTTTTGTTAGCAAATAGTTGTACAATGTTCTGATTGTTCTTCATTTACTATTTTATTGATTTCATTTTCTGCTCTCTTTTTAATCAGATTAAAGGTTTGTCAATTTTATTAGTCTTTTCAAAGAACCAGATTTTACTTTTATTTATTCTTTCTGTTTTTTTTCAATTTATCTATTTTTCCTCTAATTTTTAGCATCTCATTTGTGCTTATTTTAGGTTTGCTTTACTTTTTGGCATTCTAATTT